AGGACTTCTAATCTCACTCTATATCTAACTGAATTAGAGGAGGGTAACACCATAATGAATATCATTTAGACTATCGGAGATAGACGTGGTTTGACAGACGATGAAGAGGTAGTAACGTGTTATGAATTCACATAGTAGTCAAATAAAAACCCTTGGTGATTGAAGTGAATTAAAAATTTGGTCAGCAGCTGGACCTTGTATCTGAGCTGGTGGAGCATAGAGCAGGAAACCCGGTTATCAGTGGGTCGAATCCGGCTATGTTCCATATTTTTACTTCACCTTCAATCATCACGCAGTATCAACTTAGTTATTGTTGACGTTATTTGAATTCATTTTCTATGCATCTTAAAGGTAGAGCTCTTTCATACTTTGTAATAACGATCCCAAAATACACTTGTAAACAGATGAATAAGTGGGTAAGTAGCTTGATAATATATATTTTTAAAGTTTGCATATGAGGTGTTTTTTCGCCTCTCAGTAATGAAAAGTAATGAAAGTTTTATACAAGCTTCAGTACTCTGAGTTGGTCATACATATATCTGAAATAGATACTTCCTGCCACTGTAAAGAATTGGTAGGTAAGACTAGCTGTCCGGAAGAAGACATTTTATAACTCATTTGCCGAAAATCCTTTCAGTTTTATACACACTGAATATGTGATCAAGTTACGCAGCATTTAATTAGGACAAATGCAGTATATTAGGGTGTTATTCTCAATAAATACTTTATTTCACCTTGTATGATAAAAATAGCTTTATTGTTCAGAGATCACAAATACAAGATCAACAGAAGCTACTAAATGACTCTGATGGATTTTAATTAGTCATAACGCTTAGTAAAGGATTACGTAGTTCTGCCAGTATGGATATACTGTGATATTTTAATTTCCACATTTCAATCAACATAAAAAAGCCTTTATCATTATTTTTCAAAATTGTTTTAATAAAGCCTATTTTTGAATCATTAGTTGACGGTATAAAGAATTTATTGGCATGTCTCAAGACACCGTATTTGCATATCATCAACATGAGAATGCATCTAAAACAAATATATATCGGATAAGCAAGCAAGCCGGACGTCTCAGCTTGGTTTTTATGTAATGTGGGGATATGTGATAATGATCCTTCAGCAGCTTCATCTACGAAAGGCTTTCATGATTTTCGCTTCCGCTAAACGGCTAAATTTGGTAGTCACCTCAGTATCGGTCAAGCAACAGAGTCACTTTGATGACACCAATCCAACGATTTCAATCAGTAGTATTGACAAGTGTTGTATACAAACATCAGCGACGTAATTAGTCCAAGCTTATGACTTACACTTACCGAGATTTCTTCACTCATATGGAAAAGTTGTGGGCCACAGTCCCCCTCACGACGTTAATGAAACAGTTTGCTCAACTCAGATTTCCAGACTTACTGACATCATCACTGTAGCGCCTCTATGGATGCCAACATCTAAGGGCATCATAGACCTGTTACTGGCCTATTCCGTGCAACCCAACTATCCGCTTGTTCTGCTAAGAAGTAAAAGCTGGCACCATACTCATCGAAGCATGACCACAATATTCCAAAAAGAAGCAATAGAAGCACTGCCCTGAAAAAGTACAGAAAACCAGACTACTACTTAGTAGATTAAAGTCCCATTTGTTGTCAGAATTAACTAAAAAAAATCACCCCACTAACTCAGAATATCCATGAATCTACCCTATCTGTCTAACAAACTATTTTGTTCTCCCTCAAACACTTACTAAATAACTGCTATCCGGGGCATCTTTTGCCTTTTCCTATACCTAAAAACCATAAAATGCAGTGCAGAAAATATTTTTCGCTTCGACTAGTTTTACCTGCCTTTAACTGAAGTTTACTTTTTATTTTAAATATATTTGCAATGAATATTTACATACAATGACGTTCTTAAGTTTTGTTCGTATTTAGAGCAAAATTAATGTGTCTGAACACATCAATTTTGAAATTATTTGAACAGTGATATGCTTTGAAATTGCTTAGAATAATATCAAGAATATCATTGTGTTTAAATATTCATTACAAATATATTCATAATAAAATTGATTCTTTCTACAATACACAAATTTTTCATAGATATACTGAAGTTAACTTCATCAGTTTGATTTAAAAGTACAGGAATGCATATGGAAAGTCTTTTAGTTACGGACAATTTCTTATTAATCAACGTATCAAATTAGAAGACAGAGTTTGAAGCGAATACGTATTTTCGGTAAATTCTCGTCAAGCTTTACATTTATATTTACAAATTATTCAGCATAGACAAATTAGATTTATCCACCAAAAACAATAGATAGAATGAAAATATGTCTGATAACTAATTTTTTTTAATCGAGAAATCATCTGTTAATTATGTTACTGTAAATGATTTTACTGTGAAAATATTCATATGGTTAAACAACTTTAGTGTGATTATCAATTTTAATGGAAAATTATTAAATAATTGAGTAAATCTCTGAAAGTTATCAACCTACAGTCAATAAAGGTTATCAGTAAAATGTTTTTCCCAATTCTCACGTTGGAACAATTCTTTAGAACTAGTAATGGATAGTGATTGGAAGTGGGATCCGGGACGAGCGCTTCCTCTTATTTGCGACTCGTCAGCTGGATGTACCTGTCTCCCAGTGAGCTATGCTGTTCCTTTTGGGACTCGAACTCATCACTAATATATAATTCAAACACAGGCATTGTCGAGGCATACGTACAGGAACCCATATGCCAAAAGAGACTCATAACTTCGGTCCACTCAACGACAGGATATACAAACAGCAATATAATTTTTTTAGAATGTTTGTGAGACTTCATGCTTTGTCTGTCAGACTTTGCCAGACTTGTCTTCATGTAATAGTGTGATGACAGAGCTTAAAGTTCTGCAAGTGGCTATTTTAAAACAGGTGACTGAAAATTCTGTTATGAACCAACTTTTCTTCACGAATATTTTACTTAAAAATCGCAACAAAACTGTTCTGTGGTAAACTGAAATTCTGTTCTCAGAATACATAAGTTGGACATCTTTCATTATGTGTTATAAATGAATCCTATCGAGTGTGAAATCATTTAAATCATTCGACTGACAATTGTTACTTAGGTTTGATTTACGTAACTTCTGTCATATAAACTGAAGAATCTTTTGTCAATTCATGATGAACAATTACATACATTTTGGCAGCACCACTGAAAATCAACATCCCTTGCAATTTTGTTCTATATGCATGAAGTTCGCTTAACAAATTAGTTCAAGGGAATCGTATTTGACATTTCCAATTAGGTAGTCGATTGAGTGTTATAAAATATGGTGGAACGCAGCAAGTACTTATCAATTCATATACTAGACAGCAGGCTACACCTTTTGCATGAAGAATATGACTGTGATAAATTGCTTAGATCTTGATGGGTAGATTACTGTTTGAAAGGATGATCCTTAGATGTATTACAGACTACCTTGGTCAGTGAACCATAGCTGCAGTTGAACAACTATTCTCACTACCAAACTTGAAAACATCTTGGACAAACTTTCAAGAATTACGTTATCAAGATAACTTCCATATTCTATATCTTAAAAAAACCGAAGACAACTACTTACAGTCTCAATCATTGAAGATAAACTCGAAATGAGGCTAAATTCATCCAAAAGATAATTTTAATCACTTTTATATCTGATAAACATTTGATATAGTTTTAGTTTTCATGGTCGCCTATGTTTTATAACCTCCATATATGCATAAAGAACTACGTTTGTTTCAATGTTTCGGGACTGCAGTCAACGTAGTGATATAATGTTGATTGTCCAACATTGATCCAAGTCTGTTGGTCAGGTTTGTAATGATGCAGTCAGGTTAGGCATGGCAGTGTTTGGTTGAAATCTATTTTGATGTCAGAAGTTAAGAATCAGTCATCAGGTAGCTATGCAGCTGGTTTTCATGCTTATATATACTCATCAGTATTCTGTATTTGCAGTCGTGAGCAAACACGTTATGTCGAATATCTGAATCCGTGCCTCCAGTCTTTCTAAAATCATAGACTGTACTGCTACAGAAATCAGTTCTACATACTTCGACTCCAACACTGTGATACAGGTTGGAATCTCTTTTGCCACACCAGCCTACAAAATTGCAGGAGCATACTGTCAAGAAAGACTAGAATGTAAGAAACTTATACCTTTCAGTTTCTTACGTTTGACCTTTTACGCCATATTTATTCGGTGTTCACATTATTTATTACTCCAGAGTACCCAATTTTAAGCTATCTAGTCCTGAGTGTTGACTGTATTCAATTGGTCATTTCATAATCTGATCACAAAGTTGGAAGACTCATTATCCCATGTTAGTTTGATAAAAGGTATCTAACAGGAAGTCCGGCTTGATCTAGGTTGCTTTCTTGCAATGCTCACATTACATTAAAAGTGTCTCAACATGTTTTGCTTGCTTAGCTTTTAAATGACGCATAAGACAATATGCAACTAAATGGAATCTATTATATATAACTAAGATGTTATAAGGATGTGAACAGTTAAACAAATATCAATGACTTTTTATATTTAACTGTGGAAAACATTTAGGTCAAATGAAACACTAATTCGGTTGCTCTGAATCTGTATTTTTATGGCGATGAAATCAATGAGACTGTATTATTTTGGTCAGTAAACATAGGAATTTTACAGTAATGCAGTTAATACATTTCTGTTGACACTCATTTACATTCTGAAAAGCATATTTGGTAATAGCCTTTTGAAGTTGACAAACTGCATAAAACTATATTGGATAGAATAGATACAATTTTCATCAGCTTCAGGTCTAAGAATAACAACCAACACTCAACCTTTAGAAATTCGTAAAAATATTACGCTTCTAATACTAAGTTCATACCGCTATTAATATCAAAGAAAATGTTCACAATCAAATAAAGAGAATACTGTAAAAGCCTCACTATACAACTCAAAACTTAAATTAAATATTAGGGATTTGATGATAAACTTACAAGTTTATCGTTTCACTGGCTAAATGTAATCTTAATTCTTGTCTATCAAATTTAGACGACTGTTTAATTTTAGACAGATAATTTTTATATTTCAGTGCTAAAGTTTTACTATGAAAATTCTTATAGTCCAGTCTACGTGAAGTATTCATATTCACTCTATGATGAGGGATTCCATCCAATAAACTGTCCAGATGACTTGAATCATCCATTGAGTCAAATGAATCCAACATTTCGTCTAAATGACTACAACTAAATGATGAATCTGATGTTTTGTATACACCAATGTTTAATGAAATCTTTTTTTCACTGGGTACTGTCAAAAAACTTTGTAATTGATAATTTTTGTACGATGAAGCTGATGGTTTCAAATGCTTTTGCTTAAAATTGACATCAGTTAAATGAATAAGATTGGATTTGAGATGGTAGTTTGGGATAACTCTAGCTGTTTCGTGATCTATAGGATTTTGAAAAATTTTTATACGTGAATGGTTAGAAGTATTTGAATTAAAAGATGATATTTGTTTCTGACAGTTGCCTTCACATTCAAAGTCATGGGATAATGAGTTTTTAGAAACTTTACAGAACTTGCTGCATAAATTAATACATTTTATGAATTTTATAGATGAAGCTAAGTATCCACAACGTAGATGTTTGGTGTAGTGATAAGAGTGACTAGAGTTTGATGTTTTGTGATGCAGAATTATTAGTATCAGACAAAAAGTCCAAAGACCTGATAAGGATATTATTATTAAAATAATTTCCATTTGCATTTTAAAGTATTGTGATATGCTTTTCGAAAGTCAATAATTTTCGCGGACTAAAATCTAATTCATTCATAGCTTGAGGTATAAATATTATATTCCATTCTTTTTAATAAATATAACTTGGGGAAGAATATGCTACGACGAACAGTGAATAAAGTTTGGAATTTTGATTGGTGGGTAATTTCAACCAATGATGAATTAAATAATACAAACCATTTCATAGTTCGAATGTGAACTTAATTACATAACTTTGTAAGCTACTGCTAAACCATGAAAAGAAACTTATTTTCGTACAAAATCCGTACCATTCTATTAAGTTATTAACTTACAAGTAAATTCACCATTGTTTTTGAATACTGAAATGTGTAGGTTACAGAAGAGGAAAAAAATAAATTTGTCTCCTAATGCGTTAAAGGTTATATAATCTCATGGTAAACTAAATAAATCTGTCGAAAAAATATTCACCACCGACAAGACTTTTTATCAGCTTCATAGCTAATCCACTACTGACACACCGAATGACTGTTTACTTAACAATGATAGCCAGTTTAGTGTGTATCTATAAGTGCTCCTGGACCATACTCAGTGTGCTTCATTCATCCGTGCTAGTGAACATACATTAGCCTACTTAGGGAAATGAGTGACAAAATGCACTTATATTGAATCTCCCTCTTTACTAAATACTAAGCAACAAACCAAGTTAGAAAAATGTCTTTTCCGTGATTTATCGTGTTCCTGCAATCTATTAAACGGAGGTACCACTACTTCTCATGTCTGGGGTAATAGCTGTGAATATAAGGATAAAGAAACCTTTTGTATGTATTCTAAATAAATATCTTCATCTGCTTTGTTGATCCTGACCTCCAACGAAGTCAGGGTATACCTTACCAACATTCTTACCGTGTACTTGGAATTATTGGCTTTTTTTACTTGATCTTCCTCATTTCATTGTTAAAATTTTGTTTTCACGCTTTGATAACTTTCTGACTTTGTTTATCAATACTAGTACTTATAGTCATTTCAACCTTTACCTTACACTTCATATATTCTATTTCGTCATTTAGTTACTGCTTTCATACGATTTTAATTTTTAACTGAATATTATTCACCGCCAGATGATGCTTATTTGTTCCTGAATGAACAGATATTCTTCAGATGTATGTATATGTAAGTGAATCATTATCTTTAGGTTTTTCTCTCTTAATATGGTGTTTATTCTGTTCAAATTGATTACATTTCCAAACTGACAATAGAATGATTATCATCCCACTTTCGAAGATTTGCATCCAGTCGATTTACTACTTATTTATTCTTAACAATCACATTTTCTCTTAAGAAATAATTTTACTGTAAGTTTTATATAAGCTATTATATTTCCCCTACTTTCATGGATTTATAACTTCAGAGACTAAATAGGAACTTATCGAAAGCACTTCCCTTACATTGTTTTTCTTCTTGAGGCAACAGGGAAGATTCTTCACCCAAGATGATGATGATAACTATTCATTGTTGTTCAAGCTTTGAAACTTATTATGTAACACTTCTTCACCAAGTTAGGAAACTCCATCAGCATTTACTTCACCTAGAGTGAAACTCTATCAAGTTACATAAATATTTATCGAAAAGATTGGCTGACATTCATTGTTATTCGTCAGTGGCTAGAGATGATTTGTCCTTCTTTCCTACCACAGGCTGACCTCTATAACTGTTTTTATCATTTGACCGATACTGTTGACCAAATGCTTGGTTATTAAGTATCTTAATTGATTTCTAGTTGAATGATCCCTTCTTACTAGTGCGTATTTAAAATAAATGGCCACTTGTCTGCTGATTTGCATTCTATTGGAGGATTATGCTACCAGGAGTTCTCTTGAAGTTTTTAAACTTGCTTATTGTACTTTTCCACTTTTTCTCAACGAAGGTTTTTGTTGTACCCACCCACATCCCTCTACATCAATGGGGATATATCTTACCATTTAACTGCAAGTTGGTGCTCAGGAATTCTGAGTTTGCAGTTAATAAGTGCTATGAAACGAGTTGATTTTTAACCTCTCATTCTAAACATAATTTCGAGTCAAATTAGGTAGCATACACAGCGTTCGACGGAAACCATCAGCTATCCACTAGTAGAGCAGCTCAGTTTGCTTATGTTACCGTTAACTAGCAGGCTGTAGGAAACCGATAGCATTTTCGCCGCATTCGCTTTTATCAAGCTATTATTCACCCAACGTATTTTCTCAAACCAGATGCTGGTTCCAGATGTTGTTACCTACTTTCAACTTTAAGATTACATACAAATTGACGTATGTTGTTAGAAAATCATATAGAAAATTCACCAACCGGCAGCGTTTTATCTTTTTATTCTACAGTTTCTTCTGGAGTGAAACTACTAGCATTATTCTTCCTGAGACTGGTTAAAAATAAATCAAATTTGGAAAACGTATGTTTCAACTTTGGATGTAGTTTTTATCAACAAGATAGTCATCCTCCCAAATTTAAAGAATGACTTGTAAAGAACAAGCAGATTGCTACATCTGCTTAGAATCTCAGTATCACATATCTTATGAAAATCGAAAGTTTCACTCAACAAAGAAGAAGTGATCAAAGTGATCTAGCGTAAAACCATTAAAATAACTGCGAAAATCACTGTATAGCAAAACCAAGTATACCAGTATTAAAACGCTTGCACGAATGCAAGCTGTCATTGTATGAACAGTTGTTTCTCACTACACCTGAGGGTTTCCACAAACTTTCTGGAAGATTAGCACTCGGAAAACTTCGAAATGACATACCACTTTGGCCTATTAGTAGTAAACAAACCTATTCGAAGAAAATGTTAAGCAGGAATTAACCGATCCAAATACAGAGAAACTCTCAAGGGAATCGAAGAGGAGATCACCAACCAAGTAGATCAAGATAACTGAAGTATACTTAAGCACACCCTTGAAAATGTGCACCTCTTCATTAGAAGCCATTAAGACAAGCATGACGAAAAACACCCCATTAGTTAAACCGAATAGTGTAAAGGATTTGCCTCAGTTGCTATAGGGTCAACCAAATGGATTAAACTGACGTTCATCGTTCCCTTCAAACAAAAAAGGACCTACCAATTAAAATAAAACCGTCTCAATCTATTGCATGCAAACAAAAGACGCAACCTACTACACAGTTTCACACATTTCAAAAAAATCAAGCAAAGTTTCAGACACTCAGGCTCACTACAAGCCCATACACTAACCAGTCAACTTATAAGGATAGATTAAGGTAAAGTGGGATGGAATAAATAGTCATGTCAATAACCGCCTACGTCACTTCCTTGTGAAATGTTGATACTTAGTATAACATTAAAATGCATTCAAATAAAAAACCAGCCCATAGAAGAGCTCATGCAGCAAGAGTTAGGGGTTCTGCAAAACACTCATTGTATGAGGATTCATAAAAAAAAGTGTAACTCAAATGTGTTATTTTGCCACGACTTATGTGGATCAAAATCGTTTAAGCAGTACACATAATGCATTACCTCTGCCTGAATTTTCAGTACCAAACTTCAAAAGATTTTGAGCTTTCTGCCGATAGCCTCGAACTAACTAACATCCATCAAACTGCACCGACATTACCAGTCTCTACATTGTAAGATGATTATACTAATTTAGTCATCGTTCAGGACTAGGAAGCATGGGATTAACTACTGAGCACAAACAATTCAGTGTGTCTAATCCAGTCCAACAGGAGAGAGCTCGTATAGATGACTGGTAGCATGACTGACTGCAACAGCAGGTGGTGCGAATTAGAATCACAAAGGGTACATGAGTTCTATCAACGTTTGCTGATGAGTGTCAATAAGTGCGAAAAATAGGTCTTAGGTTTCCTATCGATCGACTCCAACCCAGTCGGATTCTGTTTCACCTGGAAAATACACTTAAGTCTCTGACGTGGTATATACCTAGTTGTGTCATTCCGCAGACAAGCTCCAAATCCTGCACAGAACAACTTTAAATTTGGCCAATGAGAGCTCACCAACCTACTGATTGCTCCGGTCCCCAAACGTGTTTTATCACATTTAGTGTTTCAATCACACCCCGTCTAGTGAACAAACATCTTTAATAATTATTCAAATTGGTTCTCAACTTATGAAATGGTTTTCCAATGAACGCGGTTTGTTTTGACATTTGAGAATTATTACATTGCTCTGATAGACCTCAATAAGTTACATAATGTGTACAAAAGACAATTAATATAAAATCCTAAACTTCTAGATTGTGTATGAAAATATATTTGCAAATTATTATCATTATTTGTCCTTTGAGTTCCTAATGGAACATAGGGCTTCAGTAGCACTTCGCCATTCCACTCTCTTCTCTGCAGTCTATTCAACCTGGCTACACAACTCCCCACAAGCTTTCATTTCTTCCTCACACCATCTCCTCCATATCACACTCGGCTCAGATGCCCAACTCGCGGTTTCCCCTTTGGCTTCCACTGACAGACTGGCCTGGCGTGTAATATCCCCAGTCGGCCGTCTCAGTGTATTTCCAGTCCACCTCCACTTTCTCCTGTATATTTGTTGGGCAATGAGTTCTTTGTTGGTTCGTTGCCAGAGTGAGTTCCTCGTTGCTAATTTTTCTGGCCATCTGATCTTCAGTATCGAGCGTAGGCAGTTGTTGATGAACGTCTGTAGTTTGTTGGAAATCCCTTTCGTAACGCACCAAGTCTCTCAACCACCACATGGAAGCACTGACTTGACTGAATTGGTGTTGAAAATCCGGATCTACTTCTTTGTGCTGAGAGCAGAAGAACCCCATAATGGTTTCAGGCTATGAAAATCTGTCTTGCATTTCCGATCCTAGTTTTCCCATCCTCGTCTGTACAGCCACCACTAACTGTTATTGAAACGATGCTGCCTAGGTAGGTAGGTGAAAGAGACTACTTCCTCCAGATTTCTACCGTTGATGGTAATTGGAGCATGTTGTTGCTGTTGTCGTTGACTGGGTATCCTCATTACCTCAATCCTCTCTACGTTCACCTGAAGTCCCGTAATCGCCGGCCTGCATCTTCTGTCAAATTGTTAGTATTCATCTGTAGATATCT